TCTGGTTAGAGATACTTGAATTTTAAGACTGGAGTGAGAAAAAGACTGCAGAGAGAGCACGCCAAGAAGCAACAGAAAGCAACTATCCAAGAAACAAACKGAGCTGGTTTCCTGTTGATTAATTGAAATTGGTCGACAAAAATTGTTGTCAAAGTGGCGCAGAATATTAGTTGTTCTTCAAAATGAACGATATCAACATAAAAGACATTCAAAACTGGCGAAATACAACGAACGAGAGAAGCAACTTCATAATCGTTTTAGAAACAAGTTTATTTGTTGTTATCGAAGTTCTTGCATTGGTAGGAAATACAATGGTAGCAATGGCTGTTTATCGTAACAAGACACTACGRTCAATTACCCATCAATATATCGTTACTCTAGCTATCGCGGATTTTCTTGCTGCGGTTAKTATTATTCCGCTATCGATTGTCAGCTCYGTAACTGGACAATGGCCTTATGGTGCAAGTGTCTGCTATGCTCAAGGGACGTTGCTCTTCATATGGGCAATTTTTTCAATGAGTATTGTCACTTTAACAGCGATAAATCGGTTCTTYTGCGTCGTWAAACCCAACATCTATCGCAGTGTCTTCACAACAAGGAATACTATTATTACTATATTGATAACTTTGCTTATTTGTTGTGTTTTTATCACAAGTCTTGCTGGTGGTTTCAAAGCAGCGTTTCAATTTGGACCACACCTGTTTTGCATCCCTCGTTTCCCAACAAGGGAACTCCAAATGTCCATCATGCTTACTTCGTTCTTCTTCTTCATATGTATTCCCATGGTTACAATGCTGGTTTGTTATTTYAAAGTTTATCGACAAGTTAAGAAGCATACACAAAAAGTCGCTCCGACGTTGTGCSGAAGCAAGGTTCGGAATCTCCGACAAGGAGTCGAAGAGGCCCGAATAACGAAGGTCGTTTTGTTAGTACTGGTGGTTTTCTTTATTTCATGGATTCCTATTTGTATTATTGGGACTGTATTTATCGTTGGAGTAAGCATTATACCAAGACGAGTACATCTAATGTACGATTATTTCCTAGTTGCAAACGCCGCGTCAAATCCTGTGGTGTATGGCTTGGGCAACAAAAACTTTCGTTTGGAATACGCACGCATTTTGGGAATCAAAAGGTTTYTATTCAGGCGATTTGTCTTTTCAGTTCAAGAACACACGGGAAGCATCGCTAACAATGGTCTTGAAATGGCAGGAAGTAAAGCTGTCAAGGAGATTTCTCTGTACTGAGCGGCTCGGCCATTAAGTCTAACATCAAGCCGTCGAAGATAATAGATGAGATTTGATAAGCGCAACTCAGTTCAAATACTATTACCAACAAAATTACATTAGTCTTTCGTTAGCTGTCTTTAGTCAGTCACTACAAGGCTTGTAAGTTATCAGAGTGAGTAATTCTAAACCATACAACGCTTTCTAAAATGTCTATCGCTAATCCTTTCTCAGATTAAAAGGATGTAACAAGACTTAAACGTCGAAAACTTCRGCAAATATCACTTCTTTCTAATTACTAAGACTACTTGTCCCATGGAAACACAGACGTAGTTCAAAGGTATCTGTACTATCGTTTCTTTTTTCGATTCGCCAGTCTCTTCTATTTCCCTGGTGAGAAAGATAGTATAGCTTAGTTTACACTAATTTGTCGCGAGTTAAAATTGCCGCAGCTCATGTCCGAGTYTAARCTGCATGTACGCAATTGTCTCGGTCTTRAATGTTAAMTTTCGCTACACTGTTACCAGRTTTTCATAAGAAGGTTTAACTGCGCGCTCTACATGAAAATGCTATTTCATCTTTAGGCGGGAAACTGAATTTCACGAAAGCGCACGTGCGTTACAATTAAAATTCATTGGCCATTAGTAATGTAACGTCACATGAAAATGCAATATTGAATCTTATTGRTTTAAAAATACTAACATCAACAACAAAGATTAAGGTTCGCTTTATTACATATTCTGAGATATACTGACAACTATTTGAAGTTTTACCATTTTTGTACGATTTTGTAGATATAATAACATATAACATTAAAATTGCTACATTGTGACGCATAATTATAATTCATGACTAGCATAACTACTGCTGATAACACCTATTTACATTATAAATTTCATATACTATATTTTTCAAAATACCGTGGGTGCAAAACAAATCAAAAATAACTGGAATACAAGACTATACCAATAAATATAATTTTTAAATTCTAATTATTAATTAATTTTAAATTTTAASAGATGATAGCTTGATTCACACCATGACATAAGCAACAATGAATGATGTTAAGTGTGATAAAACCTTGACATAAGCATAGTAACAATCATAAGGCCAAGTGAAAGCTAAAGTTCAGAACAAACAAAGATGATAGATGTSAAGACTGTTATCCACTGTAAATAGATTTAGGGATTAAAACAGAGGCCATTCTAAAAGCAAATTGTCTTCTTTGCTTATTCTGTTGTGTTTAATCACCTAATGCTGTTTGCTATACTTATGGTGTTGTCTTATGTTTCATACTTGACTTCATACCTTATGTCATTTCTTCTGTTCTTATGCCTTAAAGCCCAGTGTGCACCATTATGCTTTGGGGCCCTGGGGCGGGGCCATTTTCAGTTTACCAAAAGTCTATAAATTGTACTGTGCGTTTTGAAACTTTTACCATCTCACTTTTCTAAGCACTTTAAACGATAATATCAGAGTTTTCAACCATCCTACTTCGTTTTATGGTGATATTTGGATACTAGAAGTATTTTGGTGTAAATCATAGCAATAACAGAAGCGCGCAAAGCATAATGGTGCAAACTGGGCCTTTAAATATGTTGCTACTAGCTTGGCTATCCTTACACAGAAAATGATTTTAATTTTTATATAACAAAATATCTTAAAATTAAGTTTATATTCAAGCAAAGCCTGTTTATAGTAGTTGCTTCACAGTTTTGTGATGTAAGTACATGTAAACTATTTCATGAATAGTGAGACTGAATCTTATCCAACCATTGCCAGACCATTTGACCAACTTGTGTAGATGATGTTAGAACAAAAGCATGTTCAAAACCCTTGTCGCAAAGATAGATTTCACCATCAGGGAACTTCTTCTTTAAGTCTTCGTAGTATGACACAGGAGCCCACTGATCTGTGGCTCCATAATAAAATATTAATTTATCTAAATGACTTGCAATTACCTGGAAGAGAAAAGAGCAATTTTATTGATAGCTAATTAACCATGAACTTGATTTCACTCTTGTTTCATTATTTATGCCTATTTTATTTACATTGTAAGAACTGTTCATCAGTGTTTTAMAAACTTACATCTTCATCCAGTTCTGTAACCTCAGCCATTTCACATCTTGCCATCTCCAGTGAATTACTACTAGCTTCTGAACTAAGAAGTCTCAAAGTWGTATCCACAACRTCATCTTGAACACAACGTCCACTAAACCACCACTGCACAAGAGATTTCATGAATGATTGYGGGAAATAAGATACAAACGAGACAGTAGAGACAGCCAGCCATTTAAAGTAATTAACAAACGGAGTTACATAGCGACCATTTGGCGACGCAGCCATTCGTTCAATTGTTGGGAAGAGTAAAATAGCTTTAACAATGTCAGGTTCTCTTGTAATTTCTTTCATTAATTTAAGGATGATATATGCACCAATGGAGTGACCAATAAGAATTATTTTAGTGTTTTTTGGGATGTATTTTTCTAGGAATGCTTTCTTGTGGGTGATTTGCTCTTGTAAAGAGTARGTTCCAGTACTAATRCAACATGATTGCACAACTTCTGTTTCATCTACATTGTTTTTTTCYGTGAGTAGAGGTGAATTCTCTCTTTCATGGTTTTCCAGGTGCTTTGTATATTCYGCTAGRATTGGAGAGTGTCCTAAAAAACAAGCAATATTCCAACATTCACAAAAACTGTGCCATAAGATAATWACCTACTGGAAAATATAGCTAGACACASAGCTGTACTGAAGCTAGAAAAACATTCTGCATTTTGCTATTATAAAAGATTGAGATAAAAAAGAGGGGTATGATAAAAAGTGTGATATGATTTTTACATAAAAGGTTCAGCAATATTTTAAAAGCTAATATCATTTTTCTGTGGATATCACAGGAGCTTTGCTAAAACATTCAAAACATTAAGCGGTTATATCTATATTAAGTCCAGAGTGTAGACCCAGGGGGTGATTGGGTGATCCCCCCTTCATTTTAGGCAGTTACAATAACATATAATCATAAAATAACATCTATTTAATTTATATCATGTATTTAATTGCTAGAGGTAAAGTTCAGGAGGTTTTCAATGTCCTTGAACTTGGAAATGTGGTTATGTTGTAAACAGAAATTGCCCATCTTTTGATCTTGGATCCATATCAATATAAGTACAACGACATAATTAAATACTACTATTTTCTTCTTTCTAATATGGTCAATAATTTCAATCAATTAAGGAATTGAGAAAATAAAAGCTTTCTTTTAATTTCCACTTCTAAATAATTGAATTTTTAAATYATCTTTGCATTAATAGGAACAAAACAGGCACTGTTCGTCCCACAAAGATAAAAAATCTCTCTAGAAATTACCTTTACTTCACGATGCCAATACTAATGCTGAAACAAATCAATTATTAAGCCAGATTTCAAAAAGCTTTTTTGATTAGTGAGTTGTTTTATGATAACATCATTATTATATCTCTTGAGGTCAAAAACATGTTTTGATAAACACAATAAATTGTGCTCACATCTGGWGTCAGAATCAATAATTAATGGCTAGATCCATCTAGATCCATGTATTTAGCATAGCTACATCACAAAAACAACATTTTAAAAACCAAATTCAACCAAAATCAAAGTTAAAAACTCTATGATAAAGTCTGCTTAAGCACTTACAATAAGCTATCTATAAATTACTTTGTAATATTATTTGTATTTTTTCAGTGACTAAAATTTTGAATTTTTACGCATAGTTTAGCCTAAAATAAAACAAACAAAATTTTGTAAAACCTTTTTTACTTCTTGGGAAAAATGAAAACTGTATTTTTAGATTGAGACGCAAATAACAAGATGAAAGGGAAATGGGACAAAAAAATGTCGACTTTGAACCCCACCTTCCCCCCCTTTGGAATCTGAACTAAATTTTTAAGACTTTGACTACGCTGATTTCKAATATTCTGATTGCTATAAAAAGATATGTGATAAACCACTATCTTTATTGTTAAAATAATTAAATTCAATGAAAAAATAAAATTTACCTGCATGTGAGATTCCATAAATTGACAAACTTTGCCCGCTTGCTTCATAAAGTGACGAAATAAAAACATCATAATATTCCACTAAACCTGGATTTCCAGGAATYACRACCACGGAGAGTTTTGACGGCTTATCTTTAGGTTGTAAAACGGAAATTACAGTTGGGATACCGTTTACTGGAACGACTTTACGCTCAATTTCTGCGGACACTTCATTTGGAGGCACCGCGTCCGCCATCTTGGGCAAGAATACTGTAATTATGCGCATAAATTATATAAATAAAATTTGCATAATTTGYTTGATTCAAAACGAGGCCGTTCCAGTCTTCTTGATCGAGAGCAATGGCGGACGCAACGTGAGTTGCACAACTAGCTGACTGCGTACTTGGGTTTTTCCTTGAATAAGCAAGCTATTTTAAGGCGATTTTGCTAAGGATATCAGAATATTTTTAAAGATTGGTCTTGTAWTTCATGAACTGAGTTACAACCAAAAAGTTCGGGTGTCCACCAAGCTATTGAGGGTCGATTTCTGGAATTTTGTTTTTTCGAAAGAAGGAATTGGTTTATAAGAAGACGATGAATAGCATTTGTGGTTGTCGAGTGTTTAGAGCTTGCCAGTTAGCTGGTTCAGCAGCGACAAGGAGGTCATTCGCTAAGGTTTGTTTACAATCTTATTGTGATTACGTAAGACTTATTCCTGGCATATGGTCTTCGTCCAGTTTTGTTTATAACCCACATCACCTTAAATTCAATGACAACTTTTTATATATCTWCATGTATCTTGCATAAAAATGAAAGAAGCATTTTCAGGCATAAAAAAGTATTTTCAAAAAATTAGGAAATAGGTTATTTTAGCGGGACCGCGAGGTCGCTTGGACTACGAGTTGAGTGTCGAAGAATTGTCAATGGACTTTCACCATGCAGTCCACGAGACCAAGTTCATTAGTATAGTATACATGTACCTTAAAATACAGGGCAAATGCAGGGATGAAAAGGCGATAATATACAATTTTTTCGACTTCTCAATTTGATATACCCTGCGAACAGAGTGTTATACCTCATTTACTGAGGTAAGGTAAATAACACTCTTTTTCACAGGGTAAATTTGATAATGTTAACCAGTCCCAAATACATTTGTTATTTCAACTGTTGCATGTTAATTAGTGCAAACTATAATAAGATGATGATGATGACAATAATAAAAGAGAATATCTAATAATTGCCATAATTATTATTGTCCAGGCACTAACATCTTCACGTCTGTCAACACCAACCCCATCAGTATCTCAATCAGAAGTTSGTCTTTCAAGTAAATGTTGCAGAGCACCAGTAAAACCCTTACAACACAAATACTGTAAACATATAACACGTCATTTGTCCACTGCAGAGGTAAAAAAGTGAAAGATACAACTTCAATATTGTGTAAAGGAAGATATTACTTAAATATGGTTTTGATTTTAAAAATAATGTTGTAATCTTTTTGAACAAATAGAATCCCCAGGGAGGTAGTGATGGGACAATGGCTGCTGCAGCTGAATCTCAAGACACACTTAGTACCAGGATAGCAAAACTATTTGGTTGGTTGAGTGGAGTCAACTCTAAAAGTTCAGTAAGTAATGTGTACTTTCAGTGAACTCTTGAGACAAAGTTTATGTGTTAAACAAGTGAAAAATTCATTTTGTGTGACTTTTTTTCAATAATATCCAGGTTCTCTGGCGAAGCGCTATGTCAATGTACAGGACTTGTGTAGAGGACATTAATTATGATGACTTCTATGAAGGTAATCACAAATTCTTTGTTTTAACTGAAGAATTAATTATAACCAATTAGTTAAAGGGACACTGTCAATGGCACACATGCGCGAGTAAACTTGAAAACACTAGGCTAGTGTTTTCAAGTTTATGACTCCAAGTTGGCGCGACATAAATCAGATCGTAAACATAAACAGATCTAGAATATTCCAAAGTGTGTCAAAAGCACCACAAAATGATTTACCTCGAAGGTTATACTTTCAAAGTCCGTTAGAGGTGAGACTGTTACTGCGCATGTCATCCATTGACAGTGTCCCTTTAAGTGTTTCGTAGTATAATGAGTCTATGTCCTATACATTGTAGAGTTCTATTTACAATTGAACAAAGAAAAGAGTGCACATTTTCTTCTGAAGTGTATGATATTATTGTTAGTAATTATTCAAAATCCAATGTGATTTTTGTTGCATATAGCTTGTCACATGCCTGACACATTCCAGTCCTGGTTCATGGTCAACCAGCTTCATATCTGGTRAGAAACTTGTAGTGTTTCATCTTTCTCTTACCTCAAAGTCATTTGCCTTCTCTCTTCCTCTTCTTGTACTGTACTTTGTAAACCTTTTATTTCCATATTTACATGTAAGTCCTTATTATAAGGGTTTTTACGCAAAGCTCAGTATTCATATTTTACAATTGTGAATGACAAAATTCATTTAAAGCAAAATATTGTATTTTAGGATGTGTTTAGTGCGCCTAAAGGCCGAGGGAAAGGACGGACAATACATGTACAGAAAATTAGTGGAGATTATGTGGCAGGATGTCGAAGCAAGAATGAAGAAAATGGGGGTAAATATCTTGTTTTTTTTCATACATCACAATTGTCTTACCAATTGCTTATCATCTACATTGCATCATTCTCTTATTTAGGAAATTGACTCCAAAACAGTGAGAGAAAGTCTGCTTGAGCTGGTACAAGAGTTTTATGGGTTGATATTCGCATATGACGAGGTAACAATGGCAGTTTAAACATACATAATGAATTTTTGGAATCATCTGAAATCTTTGAAAGATTGTAATGTGTTAATTTTAAAATTATATATCTTTTATGTTATGTATAAACATTCCCTTTTACCAGAGTAAGACTGTAAATGATGAATGATTTTCAAAAATCTTTGCTTGTGTAGGGTCTACTGTCGCATGATAGAGTTCTGGCTGCAGCACTATGGAGGTATATCATATAAGGGCATTATAATTAACAGTACTTTTTTATATACTTTCAATGCACACAAAAAAGTAGTAAAAACTTAACAAGTTTGTATACTAGAGGTTTTGAGGAACAAACATAATCATTATATGTAAAGTCAATAAACTCAATGACAATTTTCTTTACAGGAACATGGTTTATGATAAACACAAYACAAATGCATCTGAGCTGGCAAATCTTGTGGAGTATGTRAGAAGACARATGCAGCATCTAGATCGCCTGGACTCTGAGGAGCTTTTGACTACAGGAAATATACCATGGCTGCCATTTAGAAAGGCAAAAGAACAGGAGCCTTTCCTGTACCGCTCATATGCAAGCTAAAAACAGTACATGTATTGATAGCTTGATATTCTAATGTTGTCATATATTATAAGGAGGAAATGACCTTAAATAAACAGAAAATATCTGTTTTGTGGGAAGACATTTAAAAGGATTTTGACTAAGAGCAGCAGGAGTTTTTCCATTAATGAATCTATGTTGGCAAAGAATGCTGAATCATTGCAATACTACCCTAAATGTCATTTGAAAGGGATTTTCTGATTCATTTTGATGTGTTTTGTATAATAGTCCTGTGAATCAATCAAGTAGGTTGGAAAATGCAAAAAAGGAAAAAAGTCAATTTAAATGAATAATAATTGAAAAAAAAGAAAAGGAATGATAGAAGCTGCATGTATCAGATGGAACAACTGATTGTAATTTTCCAAGGGATTTTTRCAGTAACTTCTGTTGTAAATTTKACAGAAATTACACGACTACATGAACACTTTGTTCTCCATGTTATTATGAAAGTATTTTTGTCTTTAATCAAATACTTTAAATTATGTAAAAACTTTTCACACCATAGTTTATTCAGCATTATTTAAGAACTATTAGGAGCAAAGCATCACAATAACATCAATTTTCAGTAACAATTTTAAAAACTTAATTTGATTTGTCTTGTAACTTGTAAGAATTGTGGTAATGAGAATTCATTTTTTTTTATTGTAAATAAAAATATTACTTGTACTGATGTGTAGCTTCTCCCAATGCTTGTCACAACACTTAAATTTGTTCTACATTTTATCCCTTCTATCCCTTCACTTGATCACTGAAGACAAACCCTCCAAAGTCTCAGAGTGCTTAAGAAATAGATTGCACCCATTTCATCTCCAATGGTGTCATATTTGCAGGAATTCCAACCTAAAAAGTTTCATGACCACTAGACTTTCCAGTCAATCTTGTATTTACAGTAACATTGTTAAAGGGTTTTCCAGATATTTTTTGAAGGTTGAAAGCCATTGAGCGCCAACTGCACCATCAACAACACGGTGGTCACAGCTCAGTGTGACTGACATTACATTGGCTACACTGTATCTGAAAAAAAGAGATCAAATTGATAGTGTTTGCAAGTTTTGGCCACAATAGCACACTTTGTTGTTTTCTCAAGGGAGCGAAAGTCCTAAACCTATCAGTGTGAGATTAGGCAGTCTAGTTCACTTTGAATACGTGAATATCAATGAAATAGACACAGTGTTTAGTCTCAAGTTCATTGTTTTCACAATCTTCAAATGCCATTTCTCTCTTACCCCTTTTCACTGCTGTCATCTGGAATTACAGCCTTTTCTGTTGATCCTACTGCTAATATACATGCCTAGTAGAAAAAAGATTGATTGATAGATGCTTACGACGTAAGCCGGAAGTGAATTGAAAACAATAGAAAACAAATGAATGGAAACGAGGTCTAAGGGCCCTGAAGGAGTTTAGATGGCAAATATCAAGGGATTCCGTTCACCTAGATTCAAGAAAAATTCCTTGTCTGTAGGAAAAGTACATTTTCTTGCTTCTTGTTAAATTCAAAAAGAATATTTTTCAATTCCTAAGTTACTTCCAGTTTATGTCATAAACGTGTATTGATTAATTGATTCACGGACTGATTGATTACCTGACTTGACTACATTACTGGTTGATAAATTGACGAATATGAGTCCCTTTATGGGATAACTTATTGAGTAATTGACAGCCGGAAAGCAAAACATCAGGCTGAGCAATGGACAGACAAACCGTAAATAAAACTGTATACAAACCTGTGGTGGATTAATAACAGCTGAGAAGTTTTTAATGCCAAACATGCCAAGATTAGATATAGTGATAGTACCACCCTACATACAAACCATAATACAGTTAAAAGAATATATTTTATACAAGGAAGCATAAATATGTATACAGGGTTTGTGCTATTTTTTCACTAACAAAATTCCAGGACTTTTCAAGTACAAACTGCACTCTTCTAGAACTATTTTTGAAGATAATTTTTTTATGTTAGCAGATTTTTAAAAATAGCCATATTTCAATCGAAAAGTTAGAAAGCAACACGTCAAGGCTTTTTCCAGGAGTGTTAGTGATTTTTCCCAATTTTCAAGGGCTTTTCAAGCGATACAGGTGAAGGTCATAGAAAGTTTACATTTATATTGAGAAAACCTTTTTCCAACACCAATTACCTGGAATTCATGTGGCTTTAGCTTGTTATTGCGTGCCTTGTCTGCTAAAGATACCACATCTGAATTTATCGAAGTCAAACCCTACAAAA